ATTAGCTTACATAGAATAAAAATTCCCCCGCCGCAGCAAAGCTGTACACCAAGCGGATTTCTATATGTCGAATTAGATTTTTACTAAAATATGTCAGATTTATTCCCCGTTTTGAAATTACATTCAATTTAACTAGTTGCTGTTCTGATATATTACCGGAACAGAATAATGCGGTTTTTAAAGTCTAATATATATATTAAGTCTAATTTAACACTTGCAAAACAATTACGAGGGTTAGTAGAGGCAAAGATAAATCATTTCCAGACCCAGATAACAATTTGCCATTGGGTTATGAATAAATAATCCTATCTAACAAAAAGAATGGCGTTAGATAGTAACAAGACTAGGGTTTAAACCGCTCCCTTTCAAAAGGAAAAAATGCTACTGGTGTAGAAACACACAAAATGGTGAATTGTACCTTTGACTATTAATACAACAACATTGTACTTAAAGATCTCATATGCATTTTTAATCAGCTGTGAGGCAGAATCAAACAATCTATATATATATACTATTATAAAGAAGAGGTGGTGTCTGTGTGTTTGTATGAGCTAATCTAAAAAACTACTGAACCTACTGGGCTCAAATTGCACACAAATGAAGCTACAGCTCCGAGGATACATATAGAACTATTCCCGCTTCGATATTGTCCTAGGGCTCTGCCCCGTGGGCTTTCAAAAATTTGAGGTGAGAGATTTAAAAGTAAATATTGATTTATGGTATCCATGGTAACAAAAAACAAACCTGCAAAGTTCAAAAATGTAAACAAGCAGAACTAACTGTCAAATGAATTTTGATTTCACAATTCCACACAACTGCTTCAAACATATTAAATACTGCACGAATATTAGAACAGAGAGGGTAAGGATAATACATTTTAAATAATGATGTCACTAGCCCGAATGTAAACATTATTTAACATTACTTAAATGGAGCTGTCAAACCATATATATGTTAATGTAATTTCTTAAGTTTATGATTCTTTCAGTTACTTCATTTGTTTATGTTTATGATCTATTATTCTGAGTTTGTACTAATATTTGTGAAATGCTGTAATAATATTTTAAAGGGAATAATTCGTTGTAAAATAAATCATTCATGGATATAAGAAATAATTAAGATTCTATAATCATTGCCAGGCCATTATCCTGAGTTTTATGAGGTTTATTTTTGTATTTATTTCTGTGTAAACAGCAATATAATCCCCCTGCCGCAGCAAGTCTATGGACTGAGTGAATTTCCATTTTCCTGATTATAATTACACTAAAATATTGTTGTATAAAATTACCCTATTTTCCATAATTATTTATATTTTCCATTTTTTTCTATTTTTCGGTTTGTAACTGTTGTGTTGGTTTTTTTGTTTACAGTGCAAACCATTAAACACGTTCTTTTACTGTACCTTAAAATCTATCATTGGTTTTGTATCGTAGGTAGCCTAAATAAGTATGAACGGTATTAGTTAACCAAAACGTACTATTATCGAGTTAAGTTATACGGTTATATTTTGTTTCTGAATTAAATGGTAGGAGTGATACCATTTGGCATTTTCAAATAACCAACATTGTCTCTTTTGCATGTGACAAATACACTTAAATAAATACTAAACCGATAAGGTTGAAATTTGGTGTGATGATAGCTGACATTCCCGATTAATATATAGACATATTCTTACCTCAAAAACACTTTCAGGATCGGCCCCAGTAGCTCTGGCTCTGGATTTTCTCATGTTAGCCTTATGAGTATTCATATTAAGGGAATAAAAGAATTTTGTCAGCCGTTTCAACTGAACAAGTTGGTTCTATGATATTAAATAGCATTAAAAGTAAGGCTTACCAACAGGGTGCAGCACTATTATGTTTTTTGCATTTATTACAACAGCTAATTTGAACCAACTAGCAACAAAAAGTTGTGGTACACAATAAAAACTTTAATTTTTCCATGGTTTAGGTGCAGTTGTAGAAAATTAGGGCTATGGTAGATGTGTGCTACACTATAGGATAACGTATAAATTTAAAGACCAAATTTCCTTAAACCGTGTCCTCTCCCGTAACTGCAATAAGCATTTTATACTTCCATGCCAACCCAGTACGAAGGACGGGTACTCTGCTAGTTAATTATAAGTTTTTACTTTTCCATAGTGGAGAAGGTATCGTTTTCGTAAACTTTTTTGAGTTTGAGTAATAGGTGGATGTATCCGTGTTGGGTTCCCCCTGAACCCAAAAAGTGGTTTTCAAAGTGATGTCTGTGTGTGTGTGTGTTTTTTTACCTCTGGGGAAATGAAAACATGACAAAGTAAATCAAAATGACAAAGTAAATTGGATTGTCCCAGAGTGTAGATCTTACCGTGAGACCTACGTTGATAGCTACCTCTCTATAGGGAAATATTTTAAAATTAAATTTTGTTTTGAAGGTGTCAAAAATATCAGTAAACGTTCTCTTTTAATTCAGCAATATGAGCACTTTGAACACAGTAAGTATAAGCTAAACCTCAATATCTTATTCTGTTATGAAGTCCCAACACTAAATAACATTTTTAAAGACAATTAATGAGCATAGAATATAAAACATCCAATTATGTTAGATATTATCAATCAAATTATACTTGTTTGTTGTATTCTATTAGTATTTAGTAGTAATAGATGTTTTTTTAACTGCTTATAACGCTGCTTTAAGATAGATAAAATGTGAAACATTTATTTGAGTTGTTTAATTAATTGGAAATGTTTGTCATGACAAATTTGAATAGTTGTTGATTTACAATTTGGAACAGGAAAAATAAATATAATTGTGTAAATTTGGAACTACACGAAATGTGAAATGCTATATTTATAAACCAGTAGTACAATTTGCTACAAAGAATGACACTTAGAAAACGTAAGGAAAGCTATATTAATATTGCATGATTTTTTTAATGGAAAAGATCAATTGTTTTATATTCCTAGCCCTCATTTTGAAGGAAAATTCATAAATCGGTAGGTAGAAATATCAAAATGCCAACAAATTTAGTATTTCTTTGACAAGCCTTGGTGTAAAAGCTATTGTTTCTGAGACGTAGTATCTAATTTAGATCAGTAGTTTTTGTGCGATAGAGAGCACACTCAGACATACTCAATCACTTTAATTATAGATTATTGAAATACGATACATTTGTATGTGACTTGTGCCATGCACCACACTGGATCACCCTGATGAGATAGACGTCGCAATCAATCCTCACACTATTAGAGAGGGGGCATTAGAAGCTAGGTCGAGCAGTTTAACCAGGCCATACTTTGCCTTAAAGCTGTACATATTTGAAGGTTTCGGGGTGAACAATTTTAGGTAGGAGTAATGTGCTAAACAGATCCAGACTAGGGTTCAAAAAGATGAGGAGGTTTCATTTTCTTCAGTAGTCATTGTGCTCACAGGAGTCAGGCACTACCAAGAGACGTTGACTGCAAATTTGAGACCATTGTGCCCTTAAATAGATTTTATTCTACGTCTTATCAAAAAACCCTTTACTAAACATAACAAATAGTCCATACTATTTCAAGTAAGTAAAAATTAATAAATAAGGCAAAACCATTCATAAAACCAATATAAAGCATTTTTAACTACTCAACTCGGTGACCAGTATTGATATCAAACAAACCCTTACCCTTGTTTCTCACTAAACCAACCTTAAAGAATAATGTTTGCTTTACCAAATGTCATGCAAATCAGACAAATTACCTGAGATGTCGTGTTCACTGACATATACACACCTTTATGTACACAAGTATAAGGTGGGGCAATGATAACAATACAATTTATTGTATCCAACAGATATTGCAACAATTAGTGACTAGCTGTGCTCATAAACAAAATTGAACGATACTATTTTAGTAAACATGGCGTTTTGGAACCCTGAACAGCGTGCTTTTGCTGTGAAAACGTTTTTTTTTTAATAACGATTATTTTATAAAAACACAGAGATTGTTTGGGAAGCATTTCAATCTTGATCGAAACGGGACTGTCCTGAGTTGGTTAACGATAAAGAACTGGGTACCAATATTTAGAAGAAAAGCGTTAACCCCAAAAAAAGATTGGTGGAAGTTGAGGTGGGAGCCATACAACTGTTCGCACACCAGCCAATGTGGACTATTTCCGAACCGCAGTCACTCAAAGTCTAAAGAGGTTCGCCAGGAAGCAGTCATTATCACTTAAAATTTCAAGAAGATGTCTTGGAAGGATCTTGCATCAAGATCTCCATTTCTACCCCTACAAGATATAAGATGCCTGCTCAAACTCAGGCAGAGAATCGCAGAAGAGGTTTAAGCAATTCCTCAAGAAATGAAGAAATGCTTAAAAGCGTATCCGGTGGTTTTTTCAAGCGACTCGAAGAATGTCAACATTTTCAAGGACGTCACTAGAATGATGTTGTTTTCAAGATATGAAATATTGACTTATCCAAGATAAAATGGTATGAGATTACCTTTCTTATGTGTTTTTTTAAATATCAGTAGTATAACAATTTTAGGTTTTGTGTTATTCATAAATTGTATAATTCTCATTGTCCAACCCTGTGTATTATATATACAAATATAACAATTTGAACGAATAGTGTTGTTGGCCTCTGGAGATATCAAAATAATAAACTGTATCAGCAAACTGACACATACTTTCTCACATTAGCGTGTCAACAACCTTTATCATGGGTATGTGGTGGGAGTTACTATGATATTTTATAAGAAAAACCACAAAAAATTGCAACAACTTTTAAACCGTTGTTTTTACAGCTATGTTAAAATTTAAAAACATTGAGATACTTTAAACTTATATAGGCAATAACGAAAATTGAAATTGGTTTTGTCTAAACCTTCCATATATTTGACAAATCGACCTTCGTAAGTTTGGCTTAAATATGTTCAGCTGTTATTGGTGTGTTAGAAAGTTTGCATTGAGTTCGATCCCAAAGAGCTTCGCTTCGCTCCTCTCAATTTAAATTCGCTTTTACAAATTTGTATTCCTTTTTTCAGGGTTCCAGTTACAATGTTGTCCACCCAAGTTATACTGGTCACAATTGGTAAGAAACATTTATTTAATAATTAATTCATACATCTATTACTTATACTACTATTATTTCGTTTCTTCAAAAATTGCAAATTATATAGTTCATAATTCAGTGTACTATTATACTACTATTAATAATGATTCTATTTGCAAGTATCAACACTTTTTCAATGTGTTTTTTTTACCTTACTTAATAAAGCGTGCCAAAGCATGCAGAGAATAAGAAAATATATAAAAAGACTGAGTCGTAGTTTGTAATTCATTAAAAAAATTTAGGGTTGACGTTAATATTAGTTACGACTTCAGCTACTACCGTAAGTGGAACAGTAATACTTAGACCCGGGACTGGTTTACTCTTTCATTTTGATGTCTCCAGAGGCCAAAAACATCATCCGTTCAAAATGTTGCATGTGTATATTTAGTGTACTTATTTATTATCTATTTGATGTTTTAGGGAATTCAAGTAAAATATTGTAATGTTTGTTTAAAATGTAAAGAAGAAAATGACTTACGTAAAATTTTGTGTTTTCATAGTATGTTTCATTGGTATTTGTAATTTTTCTAAGATAACTTTAAAGAGATTGCGCACTCACTGATAATAAGAAGGCTTGCAATGCAAATAACATGGGTATCCCTGTTTTATGATAAGCATAATATGATGATCATATGATGAGCAATAATCGTTTCCACCCTTATCAACTATATATAAAATATATCACGGATTTTGAAGTAACGAAGTGACGTAGGATGCTAATACATATGTGTGTGTGTGTGTCCGTGAACGCGATAACTTGAGTAATTTCCGTCCGATTTTGATGAAACTTAGTTTGAAGGTGAAAGGCGAGATAAACTTGAATGAGTTCACGAACCATCATGGTCGAACTATGGCAACGGGGTTTTATGAAGTAAAAATTAGGTTTTCTCAATTTTGAATCTTAAAAGACAATTTTCCCAATTTATATCTAGACCATTTTAAAGAGCTTAAAAAGAATAATATAGTATATTAAAACTGTTTATGTACGGTTATTGGCTACGGAGAGAGTTCTGAGAATTGTTAATATAAATTCCCCATGATAAATTTGTTCTTTAGGGGCATATTGTAAAATGTTGTAATGGATATATTTTAATAAAACTTGGAAAATTTATAAATATTTTTTCAAAAATGCCATTATTTGCAGCCTCCCTGTAGCAGTAAACCTAGATACTAGTTAAACCTAATTTAATTATTTAAAAGTTTTTAATTGAAAATCAAATTAGCTCAATGGAAATTGGCTTAGTCTCCAGGTTTCCTGTGCCGGGGGTATATTATATTATTGTAGTTCTTTTTTAGTTACTTTTTTATGTACATGATTTTTTGTTGGTTTTACTAATGTTATGCCTTTAAATATAAACATAAAGGTACTATAGGTGGTATATACCTTCCTGAAATATTTGTATGATGCATTTGACTTCTTGAGTATTAATAAAATCAAATGTAAAAATTTCAATCTCCCGAGCAAGAAGGGTTGCAACAAAACTTTACAGCCTATTAAATGTTTTGTTTAGGTTTGCGAATTGCATGAAATTTGCATCAACTGTAACATTAAGGCTGTATCAATGTGTAGGGTAGAGATAATAGCATCAACCCCCTCCCTATCTTCTGGCTAATGAGCTTACCTCTGTGATGTACCATCTTCCATTTACTCAAGAACTCCGTCTCATACCCCAACCTTCAGTTCCACTTATAATACCTAAATAACGAAATATAAATCGTTTAACTGACTGAAATAATTAATCATTTTTAAGTGGATTCTTAGATCGCGTATCCAATATCGTGAAATGGGAAAACTGAAACACATAATGCACATTTTGTAGCAGTATTATTGTTAACTAAAGTATTCACAGTATACCTGGGTTTGGTAAGCAAATGTTGATTACGTGATGTTTTCGTCACATGCAGTTTTAACTTTGTGGTTCATTTATATTCTTTACAAGCTTATCAATATTAATTTGCTATGTAAAATTTTTAATTTTTGTTTTGAAATTGTAGAAATAATAGGTAAAGGAACCTATGTTACTGTGTGGAAAGTATGATAGAACTCTACTAACCGTTAAGATCAGGATGGTTCAACACTATCTCACTGTTTCGTTGCTGTATTGACCCATTTGTTATAGTATTAAATAAATCCATTTCCAGTTAATTTTTTTAATAAATTAAATGCCGTGATAGAACAAGATTTTCTTCTACCAACAGTTTGTTATTTGTTGTAATTTAAAATATTTTGCTTTACGAATAATCAATAATAATTACCTACAACCTATAAACTTTGCCAAATATACGTAACTAATAAAGTTTACTTAATAGTTTTCATTATTTTAATCAAACGGCTTGTGATGTGAACACCTTCATAGTTTAAACAGTTATTTTATTCATTAAATAATTCATCCAAAAAAAGCAATGTGCATATACATCACAGTTTTAACAGTACAAATTATTGCATTTTATTAAACTGCAACAACTGAATAAGTAACTGCTTCGATGTATAACCCCTTTTCCCACATTACCTTTGTTGATTATTAATTTTATCCACACCAATACTAGTTTGTCTTTTAAAGCAAAACGTGTTTCGGATCTGTTATGTTTGAAGTTTATTGCCGCTATTGATAATTTTCGTTTTATTTACTGTTTCAGAACACCGTCATGGAAAAACTCCCACCGTCGAGTATACCGCAACATTAACAATATTAAGCATTACAATAAAATCCACAAGATCAATAAGTTAAGTGACATAGAGCTTAGTACAAGATAAATGGGAAACTTTACGCTTCGTTCGCAGTAGCCCTAACCGAGTTACCTCTCTAAACGTTTAGAAAGTGATAGATTACGTACCTGAATAGTGATGGAGGTCTATATGGCAAACACGAGTTTTTACTACCAAAACAATAGCCTGAACGAAAGCCTTTACGACCCGAACACCACGTTGCCAGAGGAACAGTCTACTTGGGAGTTTCTTGTCATCATACTGGTCAAGTCGATGGTGATGGGGTTCATCATACTGGCGGCGCTGTTCGGCAACTTACTTGTCATGGTTAGTGTGATGAGACATCGCAAGCTCAGGGTGATCACCAACTACTTCGTCGTGTCCCTGGCATTGGCAGACATGTTGGTAGCCATATGGGCCATGTGTTTCAACGCTAGTGTAGAACTCACGGGAGGTCGCTGGCTCTTTGGCTACTTCATGTGTGACGTCTGGAACTCCCTCGACGTCTACTTCTCTACCGTCTCCATACTGCATCTGTGCTGCATCAGGTGAGAATCAATTGCTAGGCTATAAATATGATTAGCTCATCTTAGAGTTACACTCATAATGAAGTGTAGATTATCATTAGAGTAAATAGGAAACCAGGAGGAGTTTTCGGTGTAACTGAGAGTTTTTAATAACTGTAATTTTTGAAACTAATTACACAATGCAAATTAAATTATACGATATGTTCATACACATTTTTGTTGCCATCTAATCTCTAAGAATAGCCTTTGCTCTAACATTATTTAAAAGTTTTTAAATCTGGCTTAATGGTTAAAGGTTTGATTAAGTTCCTTAGAAACACCAAAACACGCATCACAGAACCATAGAACAGTGGAGAGCGCAACACATTTGACAAAAAGAATGGTTCTGGAAAATCTTTTTTTATTTTAATTAAGTTACAAGTATTTTTCCCCGCAACGGTTATTCCGTACAACATGTTGTTTCTTAGTAGTCCTATATTAATTATTTTAGTTTCAACGTCAAATGCTTCTAGTCCAATAATGTGGCTGGTTGTTAACTAAAGCCAAACATACATGTATAATTAATTGGAAATTCTCCTCATTTCCAAACAGTGATCAGACCACAACCGTGGCTAATTTACATCCGTCAATCCTTACTGGAAATTAACCACGTTCAACTATTGACAACTATTGACAATTAATTGAAATAAAACCACAAGGTCAAAAGCGATGATTTATCAGATTGTTACCATTATTAAATTTGACTTTTCTAACATTTATTGTGTTTAAAAACTACACAACTTTTCTGGAGTCGGATAAACAAGAGTTGAATAAACTGCTCCGTCATCAAGTGAAAATTACTAACTCTACGTTAAACTTGATTGGCCCTCAAAAGGTGGCCAGTCACAAAAAACTGAAAACCACTACGAGTATTTATAACCTCAATATTATATACAACAACAATTAATAATATAAGGTACATAGTGAAACAAAAAGTTAAAAAATTGGTTAAAATACCTGCTTCTTGTAATCCAAAATTTTGCTGCTATGACGCAACTAGCTTCAACTTCTCACGAAGTCATCTTCGGGCGTCCAGGGGATGTCAGATCACTTCATCAGAAGGTCGTCAATACACACATACGTTCATACACGAACATGGTCTCGGTTACGAACACGAACACAGACACGAACATTGAAACGAAAAAGTACAATTTAACGAGTAAAAGCTAAAAATGGTAACACCAGTGAGGATGATGCGTCACGACCGGATGGATGTAGCGTCTAGACTTTATATCTGTGATTAGCTTTATATTTGTGATTACTTTTAAAAAGTTAAAAGTAATCAAACACTATAAAATGCTAAGAAGATGTTTTATTACAATACCAATTATTATTAAACTGCCGATTAGTACTTACGATTATATATAGGAATTGAAAAAATATTTACCAACCAAGCACATTTTTCATTAATCTTTTGAATAACATAACTTATAACGTATTAAGTGACATATTAGATTCACAGAAACCGAAATATGGAGATATTTTTCTATTTCTCAAAAAATTAAAGTTAGGTTTTTAAATAAAATATTTATATAGAATACTACAAAATATTGCAGGGTGTATAATTGTTATGGGAATATTGTATGGAGTGAAATAAAAAAATTCAAACTCTTATCGGGCTATTCGTTTGGTTAAGCCAGTGAATAAATCAAACCTATCCTTTATTATAAAAATTCCCAATTTAACCAATTTTATCTGTACGTCTAGGGCATATCATGGTGTACTGTTGTGGTACACTCTTTTGTAAATATGTGTTGCAGATGCTGTTTATTCTTTTAAAAAGTAAAGCAAAGATTTTTGTATGAGGTTGACAGTCTCTTTCACCTTAATAAGGTTAAAGAGACTGTCAACCTCATACCAGCAAATATAATATTTTGTAGCTCTCTTATTTATTGATTTATTTATTAAAAGTTAACTTTTATAGTAATTTTATAAAAAAATTCCATCTAACATATTGTAAACCTTAGAATAATACTACACAATTTAATAATTGTAAAAATCAATAAATAAAATAAATAAAATAATATACAGGGTGCGGCAAAGAAAACCGATTTATATTATGCAGCGACAGGTCGTCTGAGCTGGTATGGTTAGGTTCATTGGAAAGCCTACACGATGCTATTATCTGTGGTCCTATGACCCCTGCTCTGTAGCAGTGGTCACCTGAGCAACGTGCGTTTGTTGTCAAGTCGTATTTAAAAAGTATTGATTCAGTCATTGCAACTCAGCGGCAGTTCCGCGCATTCTTTTTATTAAAATATGGTGACATATATTCCGTCAAGTAGCACAATAATGTGGTGAGCTACCAACTTTAGAACAACGGGTTCTGCGTTCAAAAAGAAGCTGACAAGCCGTCCAAAGAAGATCGTACGCTATACAACTAAAATTGGATAGAGCTTGTGCTGCTGTGGAAAAGTCCTCGTAGGCAGGCCGAAAACAAGCATCTGCCTTGAACATGTCTGACCCCTCTAATTTTGAGGTTCGATCTTAATTATTATCTTTGCAGATTAATGTGTGTTAATATGTTTAATTATGTTGATTATCTATACAGATAACCGTGACGGATCCACTCCATGTCAACATAATTTAAGGAATGAATGGAAATGCCACTGAGATGCAATGACTTTTAAATCCACTCTCAAACGCCCGTCTCTCATGTGACAACTGTTCTATGATCTACAGATAATGGCATCGTGTATGTTTTCCAACGAGCCTACTAGTACAGGTAAAATAGGGTTTTATAAACAACAAAATTTGTACATTCATGAAATTTCACCTGTGAGTTACTAATAATATAAGAAATAAAGATCCGATGAGTCCCAAAAATTTTGGGTGTCTAAGGCCCTTTTTGGGACCTTTTTTGATCCGAAGGGCCCTTGTTCCTGAATAATTTTGTTTTTACGTTTAAGGTCGAGTGAGGTGTGGTTTTCGATGGTTTTAGTTATTTTAAATCGATTGGGACTAGTTTTAAGTGTATTAAACCACTCCATACAGGGTGTTTCGAAATATTATTACTTTTTACGATATTTAAACATTTATTCATAAAGTAATAAAATTAAGTAACCTCCATGCTCTATATAAAAGGGGATTATTGAAAATAATTGTAATTCTTTACTACGTAAGGGAAAGGATCACAAGGAGTAGAAAATATTAAAAACCTCGGTCAAAGCAAACCTGCAGACCTAGCGAATTTCCTTTTTACTTACTTGATTTTTAATTAAATCTAAAATAGCATTGCGTTTAACGATTACCTAGGTTTGCTGCTACAAGGAGGCTAATAAAGTGTGTTTATAGTAAAATATTAATAGCCTAGTATAAAACAAATAAAATTGACAAGTTTGATCAAGATATATCTATTAAAAAACAAACAAAATCATTTTACACTATTCTACATGAGAATAAAATGGGAATTTTAAATTTACAAATTTAGTATTTTTATCCGTAACTAATAACTATACAAAAACACTTTAATATACTAAATTATTTGTTTTTAAGCTATTTAAAATGTTCTAGAGAAAAATTGGGAAACTTTGTGTTTTGAGGGTGAAGTAAATGAGAAAACCCAATTTTTACCCCATAAACCTCGTTCCCATTGTTCAGGACAAAAATGCTTGTACCGACAATGCTGCTCTGATGTCATAGTGTTGTCCTGGTCGTCATAACCACGAAAGACAACCGTACTTGTATTGATTGAAAGTAATTTTGAGGAAATTAAGATACAAGTTGCAAACTTCAGTATGTATGAAAGGTGTTTTTGCACCACATTGCTCGGCTTTAAGATTAGTGTTGCCTGTTCTGCAATATGCAAGCTTTGTAAAGGGGAACCCTGCTTGAACACCAACTTGGACAAAATCAGCAAAGATGTACAAGTTGCTAAGAATAATAAAATGTTTAATGAGTCGTCTGAGAATAATTATTGTGATGATGAAATTGTAAAGAGAGATACTACGGAAATTGTAGAAAAATAGCTTTAGTTTAAGTATTAAGTATAAATTTAAGTAGTTTAAGTATTATTTTAATATGTAATGTAAGGTTTTATACAAATACAATTGTTTTTTTTTACAAATGTAAAAAAAAACTTAAATAACTACCTAAGAAAAATACATATCAATTTGAAATTGGTCTTAATAGATTTGCATGAAAAACATATTGAAAGATTATTCACACCACCTTTAAAGTTGAAATTTATATGTGTTTATATACATATATATATAATATAATATACCCATGTTATATACGTGTCCGTAAACATGATAACTGGAGTAATTTTGGTTCAATTTTAACGAAACCGGCATTATCGGTCCTTGGAACAGGGTTTTATGTGGTATAAATTTGTAATCTTTGACCCTCAAAACACAAAGTTTCCCAATTTTTCTCTAGAGCATTTTAAAGAGCTTAAAGAAAACAAATAATTTAGTATATTAACGTGTTTTGTAAGTGTATTAGTTACGAATATAATTCAAAAATTGTAAATTTAAAATTTAATGTTATTCTTAAAGGAGAATAGTGTAAAATGATGTTGTTTGTTTGTTTATAGATATGTCTTGATAAAACTTGTCAAATTTATTTGTTTTATACTAGGTTATTAATATTTTACCATAAACACACTTTATTAGCCTCCTTGTAGAAGCAAACCTAATTATTCATTCATTAAACTCAATGCTATTTAGTTAATTGAAAATCGGGCAAATTAAAACTCGTTTAGTCTGCAGGTTTGCTGTGACGGGGGTATTTAATATTTTTTCTTACTCCTTGTGATCCTTCCCTCTTATATAGTAAAGAATTACAGTAATTTTCAACAATCCCCTTTTATATAGAGCATGGAGGTAACTTATTTTATTACTTTATGAATAAATGTTTAAATATCGTAAAAAGTAATAACATTTCGAAACACCCTGTATGGAGTGGTTAATACACTTAAAACTAGTCCCAATCGATTTAAAATAACTAAAACCATCGAAAACCACACCTCACTCGACCTTAAACGTAAAAACAAAATTATTCAGGAACAAGAGCCCTTCGGAACAAAATGGGCCCCAAAAAGGGCCTTAGGACGCCCAAAATTTTGGGGACTCATCGGATCTTCATTTCTCATATTATTAGTAACTCACGGGTGAAATTTCATGAATGTACCAATTTTGTTGTTTATATGGAGTGTTTTTGTATTATTTTACCTGTACTATACCCCCACCACCCTCAGACGATCTGTTGCTGAACAGTTCGCTGCAGGAAATAGGTCTTTTTTGCCACACTCTGTATTTGCCTGGGTCACAGAAGCCTGTGTGTAACGTATCCAGCAAAACAAGGGGTAAGTCGATATAGTAAAGGGTAAACTGTCATGATAAAAATTAGGGGCAGGTACAAAACCTGAACCTACGACATTGTTGCTTTTGGTCCGAAGTCCATGGCGGTACTGACTGAGCCACCGACTCGTATTATGATAGTAGACTCGTTTTTATCTTTATACTTTTTTTTATTTTGTGTTTTAAAGTGTCTGGATAAAGAATTGTTATTAGAAGTGTTTGTTTGTTTTAGTGTGGACCGGTACTACGCGATCGTGCAGCCTCTGGACTACCCTCTGATCATGACTCAGGGCCGCCTAGTGGTCATGTTGGCTGTAGTCTGGTGCTCCCCAGCTCTACTAAGCTTCCTGCCAATCTTCATGGGCTGGTATACCACAGACGAGCATCTCAGGTCAGTGCAACATCTGTAACTAATATGATAAGTATCTTGAAAAGCACCACAATATATAAATCACAGTTGCCTTGCCCTCTAGAGACAGGGTACTCTATTTATTTTCCAAATAGCCATAAAAATCAACATAACCTACCAACAAGTGAAAAATCTTTGCTATGATTCAGAATGTTTAATGTTTGAACTTTTAACATTTTAGAAAGTATTTTCCAACAATTAAATTTCGTGCTAAACATATTGACAACTATTTGCTAAGCACGATCACATTTTTTTCCTGAAAAATTGTCGATGGTAAATATATATATATGTATATATATATATATATTGAATATTAAGAAATAAGTGAAATTTGTCAAATAGTATATTTTGAAAATTACCTTTTTAACACGTACAAATAATTGCAGCTAGGGTTCATGTTGCTCGAGCTTGAGCAATTGCAAAGTATTACAGGAGTTATTTAAAACGAATAACAGTCATAATTTCCGATGAGTTTAAGAGTCTACTCAATGACTAATGGAAATGCTACCGAAGGCCATATCAGTTCGATATAATCAATATTATTTCTTGTAAATATTCTATATTTTTTAAAAGCTGGTCTTGTTTTGGGTTTTCCCGACTTACTCATAACCACATTAGGTTGCCCATGTTTACTCCGTCCCTGTACGATACCACCATTGTCACTGGTGGTGGTAGCCTGTACGATACCACCATTGTCGCCGGTGGTGGTAGCCTGTACGATACCACCATTGTCGCTGGTGGTGGTAGCCTGTACGATACCACCATTGTCGCCGGTGGTGGTAGCCTGTACGATACCACCATTGTCGCCGGTGGTGGTAGCCTGTACGATACCACCATTGTCGCCGGTGGTGGTAGCCTGTACGATACCACCATTGTCGCCGGTGGTGGTAGCCTGTACGATACCACCATTATCCGGTGGTGGTAGCCTGTACGATACCACCATTGTCGCTGGTGGTGGTAGCCTGTACGATACCACCATTGTCACTGGTGGTGGTAGCCTGTACGATACCACCATTGTCGCCGGTGGTGGTAGCCTGTACGATACCACCATTGTCACCGGTGGTGGTAGCCTGTACGATACCACCATTATCCGGTGGTGGTAGCCTGTACGATACCACCATTATCCGGTGGTGGTAGCCTGTACGATACCACCATTGTCACTGGTGGTGGTAGCCTGTACGATACCACCATTGTCACTGGTGGTGGTAGCCTGTACGATACCACCATTGTCGCCGGTGGTGGTAGCCTGTACGATGCCACCATTGTCGCCGGTGGTGGTAGCCTGTACGATACCACCATTGTCACCGGTGGTGGTAGCCTGTACGATACCACCATTGTCGCTGGTGGTGGTAGCCTGTACGATACCACTATTGTCACTGGTGGTGGTAGCCTGTACGATACCACCATTGTCGCCGGTGGTGGTAGCCTGTACGATACCACCATTGTCACTGGTGGTGGTAGCCTGTACGATACCACCATTGTCACTGGTGGTGGTAGCCTGTACGATACCACCATTGTTGCCGGTGGTGGTAGCCTGTACGATACCACCATTGTCGCCAGTCGTATGTCCACAAATTACTGTCATTTTTAAATAGGAATACAATCCGTTCACATTACTACAACTACCTAAATGATTTCCTGCATAACCTGTCTGTCGCATTTTTTTCTTTCATTGGAATTAATTTGGTTAGGACAGTAGCTGTAATAACGTCAATTATATTTACCTGAGCAAATGCAGGGTTAAAAAGCCCGTTAATTGTTCAGTTGTTTTTTTTTTGTTTTCCTTAACTGTGAATAATAATGTAATCCTTCAATGAAAGTTTTAGTGAAGCTTTCTTAGACGTAGTCATATAGTCATATTCTCCTAAAATTTCTTGACTTTTATGGAAACATATATTTTATGTCCTTGCCGTACTAACTTTATTTACCCTTATCAGTACCAAATCCGTAAATAATTTCAAATTAAATATTAACAACAATTAAATTATCCAAATGATGATCGTGTAAACAAATATAATGGTCTTCATAAGGATTCCATGGGAACTTTTAAGCCAACGGGGGCCCAAGGGACTTTTTCAAAAAATTAAGATCAGTTTGCAAATCTATGCGACACAGTCTTGCCAATGAGACGTAAATGGTCAAGATCGGAAATGGTGGGGGAGTTCAATGGACAAATTTCGTGTTGGCGTATTAATTATATAGAAGATATCTAATTAATGTTATTCCTGCTTTCCAACAGATTCCGTATCAACAACCCAGACATGTGCACATTCGAGGTAAATCGGCCGTATGCCATCATCTCATCTTCTGTCAGTTTCTGGGTGCCAGGGGTCATCATGATCTTCATGTACTACCGAATATACATAGAAGCCGACCGTCAGGAGCGGATGCTATATAGGTGGAGTAATGCTTTATTTATTGTAGTCCTACATTTAGTATAATTTAGTGATGGTAGTTCTTATATTATAACAGTACTAAAACAAGTTTGGATTTTGTAATGTTGCCGAACATTATGATCCACTTTTGATTTTACGTATTTGTCATTTAGGAATATACATCGTATGGACGTACTGTCATATGCTCTCTCTATGTAAATACATTAAATTAAACCGTTATCTATGGATGGCTTCAGAAAGCATTTGCAAAACATGGTTGGTAGGTCGAAATAGTTTTTTAAAAGGAGGATAATGTAGTAGCCCATGAAATAGGCATGCTTATATCTAAACAAAAGATGATAATGTGCTAATAAATCATTCGGGTTTTAGCTCCATAATTTCTTTGAAAGTAAAAATAAGCGCATGCAATTATCTTATTTTTTTAATGGAGACAGAATGTCTGCCCTCGCCCTAAGGTTGTTAAAAATGTCAATTTTTGCTTTATAATGTAGATACCCAAGAAAGAATGATCCTTGAATAATAATTAAATTTAGAATAAAACAGTCTAACATCAAGGGTCACAACCTTCATATTAATCTTTTTTCGTATCCAAAATGACCGATCCAAGATGGTGGTCAATAACTTTGACTCTCTTAAAATCAAGAAATAAGTTATTGATTTAACAATGTTTTTTTAGTGGTAGGCAGTTGATATGGGAAGTGGTATTTGTAAAATATCATTAAACGTAAAAAGAATCATGTCAAAAATCTTTTCACAAAAATGTTAATAACTTAGGAACAAAAATGTAGGCCTATATTAAAAATGGATTTCAGCATTGAATTCTGAATTTAAAGCTAGTGTAGAATAAGGGGTCAGGTGCCTTTCTTTACATGAAAACATTTTGTGTCCAATGTGGTGGATTCAAGATGGCGGCCAAAAATTGGTAGGGCCTACCCACAAAAAATGAGGTACTGACTATCCAACAAAGTTTGGGTGTAGTCTAGGATTGATATTTTAAGAAATTTAGAAAAAAGTATGGGGGGGGATGGCATTTAAAACTCACTCTGTATCAAAATAAGCCCCATTTATTAACATCAACAATTACAATAAAATGCGTGATTATTTTACTGAATTATCATTATAATAACTGTTATGTTGATTATTATAGTATGGATCCTTATTGTTAGATGTTCGATAGCTATGTATCAATGTATGTAGGATTAAATTAAATATTAAAATTCGGTTAATATTAGTGGATTAAATATTAAATATTATATAAAGCTTATCCAACCAAACTTTATGTTTATACATGTTAATATAAAAGTTTATGAGATAATAGATTTGTATTTTATTTATTATGATATTAAATTTTAACTAAATTATTATAGAGTTCATAATGTATTTGCGTTATCTGTAACAGCCCTTGACCTACATTTTGGTCAAAACGTAATTTATTGAAAACTTATATCATTGTGAAAATTCAATCCGAAGCTTTTACTCAGTCATTGAAGAAATCATTTAATACATTTTGTTTTTTAAAACTTAATCCATATTAAAATTTTTAAAGTGGTACGCAACCATTGACTTAGGCGACAAGCTATTGTTTTTCATTCATTTACTTTCCAATTAATAGCTTTTACAGATTATTAAAAGTACCACTTTAAAGTCTGAAGTTTATAATTTGTAGTAGATTTTACACTTATAAACGTATATAGGCCTACACAATTATAAACTTTGCTTTAAGGCTACTGATTAAATAACACTACATAATCTCATTTGTAAAATCGTATTTTTGAAATAAAGAAATGTACTAGTTTCATTACACTTTGTGAGCTATTATTTTAAATTTATTTATTTAATTTTTTTTTTTAGTTTTTTAAGTATATGAAACTGAAAAAAAATTTTACTTATATAATCATTATCCCTTCGATAAAGTTGTATAGCCATGATAATGAAATCCTTTAAAGCTGAGAGCAAGTATAAAAGTTATGATATTGTTCACGTAAACCAGACATTACGTTGTGAGTACCGCTCGTCTGAGTGTGGGAGAAGGGGTTGTAGGGTTGATTGTTTCAGAAACAGAGGTAGGACGGGGTGGATTATGAGCACCTGAAAGCTTACTTTCCCTAAACGTTGCATGAATAACTTAGAGTGGAAAATACTGCGTTCCTCAACCAGCGGAAGTATGGCATTGAAAAGCTTTCTCTCTCTCTCTCTCTCTCTCTCTCTCTCTCTCTCTCTCTCTCTCTCTCTCTCTCTCTCTCTCTCTCTCTCTCTCTCTCTCTCTCTCTCTCTCTCTCTCTCTCTCTCTCTCTCTCTATCTCTCTCTCGAAACAAACCTCTTCAAATACAAAATCAATCCCAGTGAAATGTTTGTGGAACGGTTGCTTTGCTGTTTAGGAACTGTAAACATATCCAGTGATACTTAAGGTTTGAAAATTTAAAATCCATGCTCTATTGAAAATCGTTATTGGTCTATTAGCCTATGTGTTGTTGCATGAATAATATTTTAACACGATCATCCGCTGTTACGTATACATTATTATTTTAATCACACTAACAAAATTGCAAATCGAATTCACTTTGACCCCGTTGGATAGGAAGCTTTTACTTTCTACTTGACCTCTGTTTGTAGCTGTGTCAGAGACTAAGACTTATTGACAGGTTTGTAAATAAAACTACATTTACCCTGATTAATTTAAGTTAGAGTGTAATAAATTGCGATCGATGCTACACTCAACACTCAAGTAGGAGAGGAGGGGTGTACTTACTCGGATACATGTTTGCCTGGTATGCTAATTTCGGCTTGGCATAACCTTTTAGTATTTTAAAACTCAACTTATTTTCAGCTCCATTTACTTTTTTATTTAAAAAATAAACATGAGAGATATGAGAGGATTAACTATTTTCAAACGTTTAACGCACTATAAGATAGTATTAAAATCATGACAGCCTGTTTTACTAAAAGCGATGTTTATTCATAGAATAAACTGTTTCATTTGAAAACCGATATTACATTCTTGCTTGCTGTTTAAGAACAAGTACTTTGTACATAACCGAATACGAGTTGCTTACACCCGTTATTCTAACGGGAAAAAGACGCAAAATATAATAGCGCGGTTCTACTCGCCCATTGTTCATTTGAGAAAATAAAACTCTCATTTTACTACTTATTCGGGTAAGGAGTTTAAATTTCATAGGCAACCAAGTACGGCGTAGGCCTTACGTGTTTAAAAATACTGTAACTATATCTGAAAAGATCAACTTACCTAAATGTGTAGACCTACTTACGTTTGAACCCCTACTTATTTTTAAGGGAAACAGATCCGAAACAAACAAACAACCTACCGTAGTGTAATAATATAAACCGATTAGGACTTTTGAAATTGAAAAAGAAATATATATTTAACTCTAATTATCCAATTACCCCCCGTGGCTCGTTGTACTAAGTTCACAGAAAAACGCAAGAAAACGCCTACAAAACTTGTAATACCTTCCTTTAATGGAATACTTCCGGAAGTAGCCTATAATTAGAAGCTAGATGCAAAAATTAAGGAAATGAAACAACTGTTAAATTCAACCCTAGCCATTATTTGCGTGATAATAAAAAAATGTTTTTACTGTGAATAGGAGCAAAGTAGCAACAGCTCTACTAAACAAACATCTGCAGATCAACGGTATCAGCACGAGTGGTCTGCCTGCAGAGCCTTCGTCACAGGGTAGCGCCAGCAGCAGCAAGATGAAGAGAGAGCGCAAGGCAGCTCGGACACTTGGCATCATCATGTCGGCCTTCTTAGCCTGCTGGCTGCCGTTCTTCCTATGGTCAGAACAATAAATAAAACTAACTATAGAAAAGCAATTTCATCATTGAACTAACAAGTTGACTAAAGAAAAATTGTTGTATCTAAACAAAAATTGTGACTAAAATAGTGAAATATATCAAATTCCCTGTTGCTATTAATATAAATCGAGTACAAATCCTTCCTAGAATATATGTTTGCATGATGATGAACTAAACACAACAACCAAGTCAACAAGTAGTCTTGTCCACAACAATCATTCAACAAGGCTTAACTGAAATATTAAATTTAATACATACATTTTTGACCTTAACGAAATATAAGTCTCAAAATGTTTTATGAGAAGTACATCGACAAAATATCCTATCTAGCCGGCATATAATGTTGTTTCATACATAAGTACATACAAATGTAATATAAAAGAGTTCAATCAAACCGACTCAAGATTTGCATACCTTAACGTAATAATATAATTTAAAATAGAAACATTTGATTGTACAAAAAGGGGTGAAATGCAATCAAACAACACCATCACATAAACTGTTAGGAACTGTCACATAAGTTACTATATATCTTTTTTCATTTTTAAGGCGTAGTTTAGAGTTATAAGTTAAAATCTGTGTAGTGTAATGTTGTAGGATTTGGTGTTGTGCTACACGCCATACACATTAGTAATCACCTCACACACGATAGCAGCACTGCACCACACTCTATACAGTACTTACATACTAGTACCACATAATCACATACTAGAGTGTAGTTTAAAGTAAGTTAAAATCTGTGTAGTGTAATGTTGTAGGATTTGGTGTTGTGCTACACGCCATACACATTAGTAATCCCCTCACACACGATAGCAGCACTGCACCACACTCTATACAGTACTTACATACTAGTACCACATAATCACATACTAGAGTGTAGTTTAAAGTAAGTTAAAATCTGTGTAGTGTAATGTTGTAGGATTTGGTGTTGTGCTACACGCCATACACATTAGTAATCACCTCACACACAATAGCAGCACTGCACCACACTCTATACAGTACTTACATACTAGTACCACATAATCACATACTAGAGTGTAGTTTAAAGTAAGTTAAAATCTGTGTAGTGTAATGTTGTAGGATTTGGTGTTGTGCTACACGCCATACACATTAGTAATCACCTCACACACGATAGCAGCACTGCACCACACTCTATAGAGTACTTACATACTAGTACCACATATATTACCAACATACTAGAGTGTCGTTTAAAGTATTAAGTTAAAATCTGTGTAGTGTAATGTTGTAGGATTTGGTCTTGTGCTACACGCCATACACATTAGTAATCACCTCACACACGATAGCAGCACTGCACCACACTCTATAGAGTACTTACATACTAGTACCACATATATTACCAACATACTAGAGTGTCGTTTAAAGTATTAAGTTAAAATCTGTGTAGTGTAATGTTGTAGGATTTGGTCTTGTGCTACACGCCATACACATTAGTAATCACCTCACACACGATAGCAGCACTGCATCACACTCTATAGAGTACTTACATACTAGTACCACATATATTACCAACATACTAGAGTGTAGTTTAAAGTATTAAGTTAAAATCTGTGTAGTGTAATGTTGTAGGATTTGGTCTTGTGCTACACGCCATACACATTAGTAATCACCTCACACACGATAGCAGCACTGCACCACATTCTATACAGTACTTACATACTAGTACCACATATATTATCAACGTACTAGAGTGTCGTTTAAAGTATTAAGTTAAAATCTGTGTAGTGTAATGTTGTAGGATTTGGTGTTGTGCTACACGCCATACACATTAGTAATCACCTCACACACGATAGCAGCACTGCACCACACTCTATACAGTACTTACATACTAGTACCACATATATTACCAACATACTAGAGTGTAGTTTAAAGTATTAAGTTAAAATCTGTGTAGTGTAATGTAGGATTTGGTCTTGTGCTACACGCCATACACATTAGTAATCACCTCACACACGATAGGAGCACTGCACCACATTCTATACAGTACTTACATACTAGTACCACATATATTACCAACATACTAGAGTGTAGTTTAAAGTATTAAGTTAAAATCTGTGTAGTGTAATGTAGGATTTGGTGTTGTGCTACACGCCATAGACATTAGTAATCACCTCACACACGATAGCAGCACTGCACCACATTCTATACAGTACTTACATACTAGTACCACATATATTACCAACATACTAGAGTGTAGTTTAAAGTATTAAGCTAAAATCTGTGTAGTGTAATGTTGTAGGATTTTGTGTTGTGCTACACGCCATACACATTAGTAATCACCTCACACACGATAGGAGCACTGCACCACATTCTATACAGTACTTACATACTAGTACCACATATATTACCAACATACTAGAGTGTAGTTTAAAGTATTAAGTTAAAATCTGTGTAGTGTAATGTAGGATTTGGTGTTGTGCTACACGCCATAGACATTAGTAATCACCTCACACACGATAGCAGCACTGCACCACATTCTATACAGTACTTACATACTAGTACCACATATATTACCAACATACTAGAGTGTAGTTTAAAGTATTAAGCTAAAATCTGTGTAGTGTAATGTTGTAGGATTTTGTGTTGTGCTACACGCCATACACATTAGTAATCACCTCACTTACGACAGCCGCACTGCACCAAGATCCATACTGTATTTACAATATAGCACCAAATTATCAATTTCATAGAGCGTCATAGTAAAGTTCAAGTTAGTTAGTTTAGGTAAATATGAATAGGAACATTAATATGATTTGCATCACGCGTGAGCCAATGGTTTCAGTACAACGGTAAACTGTGCTAATAAAAAGTAGTTGCATTGACCAGGATCCGAACTTACGACATCGCTGCTCTGGTCCTGAAGTCCGTGACTCTACCGACTGAGCCTCCGACTCACCTAAACTATAAATCGTAACGTTTTGAAGACATATTGTGTACTACTAAGTGTTTGCTATTTTGAATTAGCACACTAGACGCTTAGAAGAAGCTTCACACTTGATACTTAGGGAACAACGAACATAATATGTAAACTTGAGCCATCAAATTCAACTTGATTCCAACCAATCTAAACAAAACTGATAAATATCAAAATAACAATTTTTTATTGAAATAATTTATTTTCCAAGCCCTTCCAAGTTATATCTTTGATAGTTTACTTTGTTACTTAAGTAAATAAAAATGGAAAAAATATAGTGATTGAGTGGTTAGAGAAGAGAAAAAAATGTTGTATACGAGTATATAATCGGAATTCATACTCAAAAATCTCAATGCCCATTAGGGTTTTCATCAACATTTATTTGCTGATTGTGGTTGTAATTTGGTTGTTCCCCCATTGTATTTTGTAAATTTAGTATTTAAAATAGTTCAGTATTTAAAACACTCGGGGGAATTTTTTTTGTAACGACAAAGTTTCAAGAGTGTATTTATTTGATAAGTCTGGTATATTAATTTAAAAATAGCGACCTCTTCGTAGTACCTCCAATATACTTTTTAAATTTTTACTGTGTTACGCATACAATATTTGTATTAATCATGTGTTACAAATTGGCTTATTTTCTTTTACATTCACGTTATCAGTGGACATATTTGTTCATGTTTAGGTACCTGATAACAACACTGTGTGGACCGCCCTGCTACTGTCCTCATGCAGTGGTTGCTGCAGTGTTCTGGGTTGGCTACTTCAACTCTGCACTCAACCCGTTGATCTACGCTTACTTCAACCGCGAGTTTCGAGTTGCGTTCAAGAAAACTCTGCAGTCTTGCTGTTACCATGTTCTACTTGTCTTCCCTTCGAGGTAGTTTGACTTATTTATTAATAATAAATAAAAATATCCTAGCATTTCAAGGACATGATAAATGAATAAATACCTTTTACAGATTAGGTAAAATATAAAATCTTATATAGAACAATAAGTTGTTAATGTTATTGAAACATATTTTTTCGAATGCTTTTAGTATGAATAACTGTGCTAAAAATTTATTGCTGATTAGAAACCTTGCATCAAGTAACTCATTAACAATACTTTGTGCACACGTATCTTACTTGTAACTATTCATTGATAAAGTATTAAGTGTTTCCTGTTGATTACGTGTAACCTAGATCAAAGAACGTGAAACGTAATCAGGCACAAAAAGAACATAACAAGCAAAGTTATTTCATTTCAAGAGAATACATTTTGTGTATTCAATCATGGGCTGAAGTTTAGCTTTAATACATTTGCAGCTTCATTTTTATCGGCGTTTTAGAGGAAATCCTCCAAAACATTAAATCATCTTAAGGGGTTATCGTCATTTTAACAAAAATTGAATTCTGCTGAAACGTCAAAATAGTGGTCATCTAATTACTTGAACAGTGCTAAAAATATCGACACTTGCCGGTGAATCAGCCAATTTAAAACATCGATTAGAGAATTATGCAATGGCTAATGAACGGCACATCAAACTCTTGTAGGGGTATATTAATGTTGTTTTCTTTCTATTGATGTAGTTTTCATCAGTATTTGTGCAGTATGAAGGCCAATAAAAATATGTAAAACCTGACGATTTATTTAAGAACAAACTGTCGGTAATTTTAGAGCTATAGTGTAAAATGTACCCATAAAGACACGAGTTACTTCCTCTAAGAGTTTTGTATTCTTTCACCCATACTATAGGTTTATCATGCAAGATACAAAATGATATTCTTCTAACTTTATCACTGAAGTGTCCCTTAAGAGTTGGATCCAACATTCTCAAGTTAATTTGCAAGAATAAAGAAACAATACCTTGTGAGCATAACAGTTGCTATGATATCTACAATTGTAACAACCATTGAAAGTCATTTTAAAATGATCACATTTTACTCGAGAGTATAAGTCAAATTAATGTTAATACAAATTGTCTAAATTACCTATGTTATGTTTGTTGTTTATAATATTGCCAAACCTGTCCTGCTGCAGGAGACATTCACGACAGAGGTTCCAGCCCCAGTCCAGTGTGACGCGCGGGAGTCGCCCCATCATGAACAGCAACGTGTCTTCGTCTGCAGAGATACATTTCCTCAACAACTCGTCCATGGTGCGCATCAACACTCCTGACGATCCCACTCGCTCCTTTCCTTCCAAGAACAACTCGGAGGCCGAAACTCGTGTGCTGTCTGAGGCCGTCATCTAAACCGTTGAAACGTAAGATCCAGCTTACCGTCTAAATACTTATTTACTAAACATTTTACATTTTATCATACATTTTACTTACTTATACGACATGCTAAATCGCAACGCTCTCTTATTAATTTGTGTATGCAAAAGGATTTTAACTGTTGGCTGTAGAATAATAGTCTGTATTCGCTCCGTAGTTCATTGGGTTCTAGCATGCTCCATGGACAAGAATAAAATAATTTGCTGAGTATATAATATGATACGTCTTAAAAAAATTGTATTGGTCAATAAAGGAATACATAATAGAGATCAATTGGAATAAAAAAAAATTAAGTAACACACACTTATTTTAAAATATTAAACTATTTTAGTAATACTAAAGTAAGCTAAGTTTTACTTGATGATCGTGACTTTCATTTTGTTCCTACTATCGTTTCCAAGCTATAATCACATACTACTTATTTGCTATGAATGTAAGTATATTGCGAGGGCTAGGATATTATAATATAAACTATACTCTATATCATAAAAATTTATTCTTTTTACGATTTTTTTGTGGTTATAGGCTTACTCAAGGCCATTATGGTATACATTGATACATTTACTTTTTTATTGACTTTTTTATTGTTATATAAAGGGGGTTTATTCACGCTCTCACTTTTATATTTGTTATATAAGAAGCCCTAGATATATGGTTGATAATTTAAATAATTTTAAAAGTGAGTTCACTTTTCAATGTTTTGGAGTTGAGTTGGATTTATATTAAATACCTCACAAACGACAAAATTTGGATTGATCGTTAATTTAAAAGTAAATATATCAACAATGTATATGTTTACAGGAACAAGAGATGTCTTACCGCCACTCTCAGCAGGCAGACCGACAATCATTTACTTCCATAGGCATAGTTTTCCAAAATAAGATATATTTTTCTAAGATAAAAACCATAAAATTGGTATGAAAAATTGTTATAATACCCTTGGGAAATAAAAATTGATCACGGAAACAAATTATATTTAACATTTAATATAATCACCATTTGAAAAAGCTAAAGATTTCCTTTTTTAAGCATAACAAACTAAATAACTTATACATGTTCAATTTAATGAAACATTGCTACTTGACCATTTATAAAATTTTGTTACCATTTTTCTGTGATATGTGAAGAGCATAGATAATATGTTAATATACATTTATATGTGTAAGTAAGTGTTACATTAATGAGATTAAAAGTTAAAATTGATTTATAACTGACTTGGTTAAATAATGTTGGTCGACGTTCATTGTTTAAAATAAATACTATTTTGATGTATTTATTTCGTTTTGACTTAACGTTGTACATGCATTTCGTTGAATGAATATAACTGTAACATCCATATTTAAAAAAGTACAATTAAGGGAAAAATCAACTCCAATCTTTGTTTTAACTTACAAGCGTATTATTGTCTTTTAAATTAGTATTTAACAATTTAAGGACGTTGTGTATTGCTGTTAACTGTTTGCTGTTGACCTAGACATTGTTTAGTGGTCGTCGCGTAGTGAACCTAATGTTGGATTGACATTGAAACCGTTGTAAAAGACTGCCAGATCCCCAGCCAGTGATGATAAACCTTTCGTCAATACTGTCAGGGTATGAAGAAAACAAAACAAACTAGCAGGAGCATCACGGAACAACACGTATGTGTGATGTTTGTTGGCTTAATTATTGATTCGTAACACTTTTTAGCTATAACTATTCATAGTATTAGTATACAATTAAAAGTATTGAAAAGTAATAAACATACATAAAGTTGTTTACTAAAACTCTACAACAAAAGTTTGTTCTAAAACAGTGTTTGCATTTCAAAATCAAATAACTCTTTTGTAATAATTTGTTATTGTAAATTATTAATTAAAGTATAACACAATTTCAAAAATGAAAAGAATATCGTTAGATATATTATAAATACAGTATGATTGAAAAGTCCGGAACGGTGTAATTTATTTGTTACAATTATAGATAAATTAATGAGACTTGGTATTTCAATAATAGTCACAAATGCCTATTCTTTTAAGCCAGCATTATCACGTTTTTATTCTTTAAAGGGAACAGCCCACGAGGAGTTAGACAAAATTCTTAAATAGCTGCATAGGTCAAGTTTGGTATCAAATTAAAGGTCTTAGTTAGTAGAATACATTACCGCAAGCCCGAATTCAAACTGTATACTAAGTCAAAAATGGCAGCTGTTTAAATATTTCTTTAGTATGTATGGCATTTTGAATTTTTGTACGGCAGCCATTTTATTGTTTTGGGCTCAAATTTGCAGCATTGTATTCTACTAATAAATACCTTTAATTTGATGTGCATATCGACCTATGCATACGTTTACGATTTTCTTCCGACTACTAGTGGGCTATACCCTGGAGGTAGCGTATAATAGCTTTGCAAATTCAATGAATATTTTTGTTGGTGGCTCACATCAACTACAACGATTTTGGTAAAAAAAAAAACTGGCTACAAATTTAACATGGGGATGGAATGTCTAGTTGTATTAATAGTCAAAGTTTGTACTAACTAAGACCTTTAATTTGATACCTTAAGAATTTTGCGTGACTCTTCGTGGGCCGTCCCCTTTAAGGGTTAAACAATGTATAATAGCTTAAAGTAGTAGACATTTATGGCTATTATTGATATACTAAGTCATATTACTTGATCAATAACGGTAAAAACAATATTGCACCGTTCTGAGACTGTTCAATCACACTATATAAGATGACAATAAACTATGAAAATACGGTTCACTACTAAGTGAAGTAAAAACCAAAACAACAAAAATCAAGTCAGTAGGTCAAAGAAATCACCACAAATTATTTTTATTAATAAAAAAGTCACGAAAAATCCCATTGCTTAGCCATTAAAATTTATGTTTAAGGCTTTTATATCTACCTATAAAATGCAAACTGTAACGTTTTGCAGCTTTTTAAAACACAATGTTAGTAATCCGATTAAAACAAACTGCAGTCTGGCTTAACTTTCTTGTCAATTCCAATCTACACAACAAAATCTTATCAACACGTTATAAGTATTTGTAAGTGTATTAATTCGATGTACAAACAAACATTTATGTCGAGAACCAAAGACTACACTATTAGAGGACACACAGAGCAATACGATAGCCAAGTTTAGATTAGGTTAGGATTACGTTGTTTTGTTGATACTTTTTATATGTTTTTTTGTACAGTTGAGTGCTATATTTGTACTCTGTGAGTGCACTTTATGTCAATTACATTTCATTACTTATCTGTCGTGTTAATATTTTAAAAAGAAATCGAACAATGAGAAAAATAACTGCTAAATAAAAATTGTTAATTATGATGGAAGATTTAAGTTTTAGTATATATTTATTCGGGTTACTTTTACCAATACCAAGATAACTTATTGATACGTATTTAAGAATGTTGGTATCTTACTTTTTTATTAATATATATATTAAATTCCCATGTGACGTATTTGTGTGGGTGGATTATAAAATGATACCTCTAATGCTAAAAGCCAACTAAAATTACAAAATAATAAAACAATACGAGAACATGTCTCTCTACACTATCGTTACATTTAAAACGTGGCAGCTTTCGGCATGTTATACGTTATTCATATTATAATGGATGATTTATAAAACAATGATAACAACAAAATACAGGTGTCAAACTAACCATGATAAATGGAGTACAATATTTTCTACAACTCATAATGTTCATTGATAAAAACATACATAAAATGTTAACAAAAATATTATCTAAAGAATACCGGTTGTGCAATTTCTCATCGTTCGGGTATCTTACAAACTTTTCGCAACTTTTCTTTTAACGAAAAAAAAAATTCAACAGTTTATTCCCTTTATACAGTTTCCAATCTAACTCTTCAGGGCGCCTCCCCTTTACAAAATATTCGGAGAAACAGACATTTCTATTAATTTCGTCACTACTAGGTTTAGATTAATGTTTGGTGTTACCCAACGCAATGTGTTAGGTAAGGTGTTAGTTCTGCAAATGTATATTTGTTATTATTATTACGTTTGATGAATTCTGAACGTTTTATATTTGAATGTAAAATAAATTATTTATTTGTTCTACACTGTTTTATTTGTGTATAACTATCACTAATATACCTTTTGTGCTACCAAGTAAACTCTAGAACTTTCATAACTATTACATTACTTAAGGGTTCCACTCCAACACCATATAACCAGTTTACCAAAAGAGTTATTACAACGTACAAATATGAATTTTACGAAAAGATAATTCTTCTATACTCTTAAGTGAATCATCGAAATATTAAAAAAAACTATTGCTTTCTTTGGACCATACTAAAGAGTGAAGATTCCAATGGATTCTCCAAATAACTAAATAACAAATAAAATAAATGAAAACGGGTAGGGTATGTTTAAACTAGATTAAAATATGAGTAAGACGTGAAATGAGGTTTACATTTGTGGTAATGTTAGCGTTTTGTGTATAGGTCGACCGCCAAGCACGTGATTTGTGTTGAACTTAGTAAGTCACCAATCCAGCAACTAACTGTTACGTGACATGGGGGCTTACACATGGATGGTATTAAGCCGCGGCATTGAAACTGGACCCGGTTGCCAGTAAGCTCATTACAGCACGGGTGGTGTAAAACGCAATGTGATCTGAATGCAAGTGTATAAGCGTAAATATGATCACGATAATGAAATTAAACAAAGTTAAAACTATGAAACTTATATAACTAAAAGTCACGAATACTAAAAAAGACCCGGTATGGATCATAAACATAAACAAATGACGATTTTGGCCCAAAAATAAGCATTATTTAATATTGCTTGAATAGAAATGCCAAAACATATGTTCAATGCTATTAGTACAGGATTCGGGCCAACATCGTCATTTGTTTATGTTTATGATTCATACCGGTATTTTTTCTAGGATACGTGCTAAAAGTATAGCTGGCAAAAATCAAGTTAAGGTATAATAAATTTTAATAGTTTTAACTATTTTTTATTCTCACGGTTGATTGTTTTCTCCTTGTCAAAGTAACTATTTATTAATGCAGACATTAAACCATTACATCCTCTTATTAAACCTAAGAAAACAACTTTATTTCTGCGCATAGAAACTATTAGTATTTCTTCTACTAATTCAAATTTTAAAACATGATTTGGCTCTCTCTCTATACAACAGAGAACTACACGAAATCCTAGTAACTTTACGTTGCTATTAATATTACCCCCCAATAACTGGGCTTTTAGCTTATTTAAACCAAAATATGAACAACGATGAGTGTGCGTGGATGACACGATTTTTGTTATGTTGCTGACGAAGAACATCTGCTTCTCTAGCCAGGACTATTTGCGCCAAGCCCAATTATTCAATACAGTTTTCCTTTATCCTACGGCATGGTATAAAGCAGGCAAATGATGAGCTTCAGGCTACTACAGTGAGTATATTTTACTAAATCCATGTCCACTAGCAGCTTGAAGGTCGCAGTAAGGCATAGTACTAGTAGACCATGAGCCACCAATATGAAACCCTCCCCCCCCGTGGGAATTTATGACTTATACTTTTTTTTGTTGGTATTACCTACCAGATTAAGAATTCAGTTGTTTGCCTCTTTTAAATTACAGCGTATTCCGGAAAATAAAGAAAAACTGTTCAATTTAAAAACCGTTTTATTAAAATTACATAAGGGTTAGCCTTCGTTAATTACTGGTGAAATATTTTTTATGGACTTCTTCAGTATGTATTCAAAGGCTTCAAATGAAAATAAAAAAGTTAAAAAATACCTCCCGCTGCAGCAAACCTGCAGGCAATGCGGATTTCAAATTGGCCTGAATTGATTTTCAATTAAATCTATTTTAATAACATTAGATTTAAAGAGTACCTCTAGGAAAGCAATTTTAAGAGATTCTAATTAAATTAAATAAATTTTATTTGAGACATTTTAGACGTAAATTTTATTGGAATGTAAGGTTCCAGTAAAATTAACGCCTAAAACTTCGTTTTCCTCGTATCAAAATCGGATTTGCGGCAATAATTTTATTTTTTTTTAATCTCTTTAAAATAATGTGCCGATTGATATGGGTTGCCATTTAGAAAATTTCAACCCTGTTTGTGGGTGGGGGGTGAATTTCAAAATATCACCAAAAACAACCTTACATTACCCTAGAAACGTGTATTGAAGCTTGTTTGAATTTATGAATATTTGTGCTGAGACCATTCATTATTCAGCATGTTAACCCATTGTTCTTTATTTTTACCATTAGCTAGGATTTTTTTCCAATCCCGTGGGATCTTGATTTTGGACATCTCATTAAGAACGTTTCTCCAAATCCTCTTCTCTCTTTCAATGTTTTAATAGTTACATCTAAATAGGTATCCGCAATAAAGTATATCCTGCTGAGTTTCGGAAAACGGCTGAAGGCAATCTGTGCTAGTTCACCAGAGGTTTCTGGAATATTAGTAAGAACCTAAAAGTAAGCCATACCGTCAATTACATACATACATTATTCAATCTTGAGAGGTTCGTCTATACCCTTGTTCTCCAAAGCATGGAGCAGTTTGGCCTTTTCTGTTTTGGTTGGGCATCCATCGACAGTGGCTGATGCCCATGGTACTGGATCTAATGGGTATGTCATCAGCTTCTCAAGGTTAATATCACGTTCTTGGGACAGCAGTAAAACTCCAGAAAAATATTTTTTATTGCTCTTATCTCAACTAATCTGTTTGCATGCAGCTTTCCCTATATTATCTACATTGAGTAAATTGTCTTCCACCGATTCGGGTACAGGTCTTCCAGCTGATAAACAGACCATCTAGGAATTCTGATCACAGTTTTCAACTTCAAGCAGAATAATGCATTGTTCAAAAGCATCAAGTACAGTACTTGCAAAATACTTTGCTCACTTATTTTCATTTCATTTGCTTGCATGTCACTGAGAACAATCTGATGACTTCACCATACTTGCACTTGTTGTGGGCCCGTCCTACGCACAGGAATCAACTAATCAAATCAAAACAAACTAAAAATCTATACTAAAGGACCCATGCTGCACTGCGGCGTTAAAATAAATATCATATCCGAGAAATAATCAAATTGATTATTTTTGATTGTGTAATACATTATCTGAAACTTAACTGATTTAAACGATTAAACGATCAATAGCTAAAATTAAAGCCTATAATTGACTGATTATTTTGAGTCTAAAACATATAAAAAAAACTTAAACAATACTGGAGCTATTGATATTCAATCATAGAAAAACCTTATAATTTTTTTTATGTTGGATGTTCACCTTGCGTTTGCTTGAAAATCGTCCGATTTGAATAACTAATATCTTAAATGCAAGCCGGTATTTCACTGAAGGTTCTTAGACCAAAATATATAGGGTTATATAATTACAAATGGTAAAATACTGTACAATTTAAATTGAAATACGAATTAAAAAATATATCAAACCTATGTTTTTTGGTCGAGTAATAAAGTAGATAAATATACGATGATGCTTGATGTGAAATATATGTGTGCATACTACTAATTTAAGACCTCAATCATGAAGATCGGACGTGTAGAAGAGCCAAAGAAACTCGGAAAAGAAAAAAAAAACTAATTTAACTCCCTTTAGAAATACATGGGGGGTAAATTTAATTTACGTATAAGTCGAGTGGGACTGTTGATAAATATATACTGATGCTTGATGTGAAATCTGTGCGTGCATACCTTCAATTTGAGACCTCGATAATGAAAATCGGGTGGGTAGAAGAGCCAAACGAACTCGGAAAAGAAAAACCAAATTTAACTCCCATAAGAAATACATGGGAAAAAATGTTGTTTACGTATAAGCCGAGTGGGACTGTAGGCAACTATATGCCGATGCTTGATGTGAAATATGTGCGTTAATACCTTCAATTTGAGACCTCAATCATGAAAATCGATCGGGTTGTAGAGCCAAACGAACTCGCTAAAGAAAAACCATTTTTTTAAATATATATATTCATGATATTTTCGTGTTTTCCGGAACATGCTGTAATTCACGAGTGGCAAACACCTAAAACCTTAAAGTACATGTCAATACAAACCAAAAAATGTATATGTCGAAAATTCCCACGGGGGGGGGGGAGGGGGGGTAAACGCCAGCCTCCGCTCTATAGGTCATAAAGCTCTGCTTATGCAGCCTCATCCAATCAAGTCAACTTCTTAATGTTAACTGCTTAAGACGTTACATGACAACTGATAATTTGAATTAATGGTTGATGTTATATTAAACATATGGAATATTTGTTAGCAGCTTAGTTTCATGTCATATTGGGAACAATAAAATACACATAATATTTCGTTGAAACTTAATCAATCTATAAACTACATTTTTGTAATTGTACTGCTATCACAAGATAAATGTTAAATATAGTAAACATGGGGATGGCTAAGTGGTTGATACATTTTGAAAAATACCAAATCAAATCGAAAAATCTATTTGAATCAAGTAAGTTCTTAAAGTGATGCTCAAAAATGTTTAATTTTAATAACATCTTAAAGGGCAAAAACATGGCATATACCACGAGTTCACAATGTTGAACATGTATTTACATTGGCACGAGTAGAGTTGAAAACTATAAATTAAGAAAATTTTTACCAGAGTTATTAGTAATATATACATTTTATTTGTACATCGTATATTTGATCATGTTTTAAAATTGTGCTTATACATGTTTTACTAGTATCAGTAAGTAAGACATAGTGAAACAATGAGAGCACCCCAATTTTATTTTGTTGTCACACGATAACTGATCGTTTGTACCGAGTTTCATCGTTAGATCAACCACGTTTGATCAACATGGAGGAAAATTATGTTTGTTCAAGATCGGGAGATGATATGCAAATGGGTACAGATGTATAACAGCTTAAAGCCTAAAAATAATCGGTGAAAGCCCCTTTACTCTGCTTACACCCAGCAAATGTGGAAAGAGTGTGAGTTGTAGTAACTGGAAGGTCAAAGAGGGTTGGCCTTCGTTGTTGGTAGCTTTCCGTTGGCTTGTTTGTTTCTTTGGGTGTTCTCCCTATAAAACACCCACAGTTCAACGTTTTTCAAAGTCACCTCA